CGTGTGACAGAGCACTTCCTGCCTACTTCCTGTTGGCTGAAACTCAATCACAGGGTAACCTGTAGCTGAAGAGGAGGCTAAGAATTGGTCTTTATTCCACATGGCCATTTACTGGCCAAAATTAGGGCTTCAAGTACTGCAGAAAAAAGGGATAATGCATACAGATGGACCACTAGCAATCTGCCACAACGACTGCAAAAATTGTTTGTAAAATTCTAATGTATTTTTCTTCCTTTGCCAAGTCTATTTGTGAAATAGTGAAATCATCCCTTCACCAACACGAGAATATTATTTATGTGGACAAGTGAATTTTAGGTAAAACAGGACAAAGTAATAAAATCGTTGATAAGAATCTTTATTTTATAATCACCTACACACATGTGTGATCTAAGCTAAAAATGACATTAAAAAAAATCCTTAATAAGCATATTGTGCAGCAAGCTTAAAACTAGAGTTACTGTGCTTGAAATATCTATCTGTTCCTTCTGCTCTTCTCTTCCTGCTTCTAGCCCCAGTTTTCCTTATTCCTTCTTTCCTCTATCAGTCTTGCCAGACAAATGTAGTACAATGTAAAGAGCTCTGCATATGTTACAGAAAAGAGAAGATTAAGTGGTTTACAAACTCTAGAAACAACCTGATGTAATTAAGCCTTGTAAATTCCATGGTCTAATAGTAACCAAAGATTGTTTACTGGTAACATTTAATATTCACCAAAAACAGTTTAGTCTGTGATTTAAGGTCCTATAGAGCACGAAGCAAATACCATTGTTATTTGCATTACTTGAGAAAACTGTTAAAAGTCAGATGTCTGTTTTGATAAGAGTGGATTAAACAAGCAATAAACTACAATGTCCCAAAGCATCTTAATGGCACTGTATTAAACACGCATCACTTTGAGTGGGGATCTACACCCTGGTAGTTACTGATATCTAAAAGTCTTATAAAACATATGTTTCAGGTGACATTTATGTATGTTAGACGGTTTGTCTTGCCATTTTTCTAAATACAGAATCAACTTTAGAAGTATGATTTTCTATTGTCCTGTTTTGAGAAGTTAATTTGTTTCATTATTTTTCTCTTTTCTGAGTAAACATGAAGGTGGTACTTGCTGGATTGATAATTGACATTTGTATGGGAGACAGATCCAGATAACACCTTTATTATTTCATTTGCAATGATGTTTCTTATATTTTTGGAAGAGAATAATTCTAGAAGAGACTAATAATTTATCGATGTGGAATAGCACCAGCTCCTGAGAGTATTAAACCAATAAACTTCTATTAATGTAGGAAGAGTTCATCAAATATCTAACAATGTGTGCCACTTTTATAATTTGGAAAAAAAAAAGAAACAGAAAGAGAATTAATGGCATATTTATATTAGTTAAATGGGGAAAAAAGTCAAGGTTTATGGTATATGACAAGTACTCCTTTGAATTCCATAATATATCTGTTATTGCAAGACTTCAGTAATTGCTTCAAATGAGCATGTAGTGTAGTCACAATGCACTTTCAACTGCAAGTCATCTCTTTTTTTACAGTACTGCAATAAACATAATTTTTAGATTGTATGTGTATGAATTATTTTTATTTTTTAAATGGACATTTCTTTGCAATTCTACAAAAATGGCCTATTTGCTTAGTGGATAAAGGCAGTTTTCAGATAAATCATATTCTTCAAGAGCAGGTCTCTCAGGCCATGTGCAAGCTGGACTTCATTGTGCTTACTGCAGTAAGTTGCATTTGTTTCCCCTTAAACAGTGATTTTCCACTATATCCAAATGACATTAAATGGCCTAGATTTATTGAATACCATGAAGTGAGATATATGTGTCCAGGTATGTAATAAACACCCCCCATAATACCTTCGTTCTCTTTAAAACCAGGGTGAATTGTTTCAACATTGGCATAGGGAACCTAGGGCAAGAATCATGCAAACTTTTAAGGTAGTTAATGAGAAAGAAGAAATACAAAAAGCTTGAGAAAGCCAAAAACAACAGCAGATATACCCATATACAATTGAATTAAAAAAGAGATTCTTCCACTATATCTTCCAGAAGATAGTCAAGCCCAGGTGGCCCTCATGGAGGATATTTGACTCAGCACATTTTAAAAATTTCATACTGCTTCTTCCACTGTTCAGTTCTGAAGGGAATTTGAATCTGTTATACCGAAAAGATATTCAAGAGTTTTCTTAAGGAAAAAAAACTAATAACTTCTAAATTTCACTTCCACTTTTAAAGATCAACATGCCAAAAGCACATTTATTTCCAAGTAAAGGATTTGCTAAACTGAGACCATTTTCAGAAAAGTAAAGCTTTGTAAGGCTAAAATGTAATGATGTTTTTAATAACACATTTGGTGAGATTATTTAACGTTACAAAATTACCTATTTCTTCTAAGACACTCTGTAATAATGTAAATTATTTGTATAAAAAATCCTTAACTTGTAAAATAACATTTTTCATGAGTTCTTAAATCACATTTTCCTTTCAAAACAATTTGCTGGAAGTGTGTTTGAGTTCTCAGGTTCGTTCTCAAAAATTTGTTTCACCTGCCAAAGAACAGGGGCTATATTGTTAAGAGTCATTCATAAATGTATTATTAGTATTGTGTCTTGTTATAATTTCAGCAATAATCTTGGGCTCCGTGTGTGTGTGTGTCTGTATGTGTGTCTGTATCTAGGAAAACTTCCATGAGAAAACGTCTATGCTTTGTTCCTTATTGTTCTTATCTTGAGGGAAAATACCATCTTTGTTCAGACTCATGAATATTTCCCACACCTTGATTAGTGTGGTAACAGACTAACCTATGGTTAAAACGAAGACAGTGTTCTTGTTTCAACCTTGAGATCTCTGGTTTGTTTCCGCTTACTGGCAGCACCACACTTATTTTCCATGACCAAACTTTTGAACAACAGCACAACATAAATATGACTGCTGGGACGAGTAAACTAGTGAAACTGGGGAAGCCGAAAAACGTCTAGGGAAAGGATAAAGCGGGAGAAACTTGTTTATTGCTCACAAGAGGCCTAGCTCTGTTTGACCCTCTCTGGCAGCCACTCTCTCGCCTCTTCCCTCACCAATGCCTGCTTGCCTCTCCCCCTACATCTTGTAGGAGGAACTCCATGGGCGGAGCCCCAGTGACTGACAGGCACCAGACCAATTACACAACAGAGCGTAGGAGAGAACAACCTCTCCACCCCTGGTTCCTGGAGGTTTTGGGAAGAAACACTTATTAATATGTAAATAGACTAAGCCCAGATGGGAGATTCTGGAAATATTGCAAATTTACCCCACAACTACTTAACCTAATGGTTAATGGTTTCACTATTGATTCCTTCCCTAATAGCATTATGTATATATGAATAAAGATAAATTATCTGTGTTAGAAATACCTAAGTCAGTTTCTTATTAAACAACAAATATTATATTTCTATTGAAATTATCAACATATATTTAACTTAATGAGAAAAGCCAGATTTTGTTGTTTTGAAGTTGGTTTTTTCAAGGAATTCAGACTTTTGTTTTGTCTTAAAAATCTAGCTTTTAACATTTTTTTAAAAAATTTAAATTACAGGGAAGTAAAAAAAAATAAACAGCCTCTACCACTCCATGTTAAAACTCTTAGTATTTTACCACATTGCTTTAAAATAAAACATTTTAAATATTTAAAATAAACATGTTTTACTTAAAATAAAACATGAAACAAATAGTAAAACCATTTTGTTCCTTTGAACTCTCATATGAGGGGCATCATATAAGTTTGATGATTTTTCCCCCTTTCAATTAAAAAATTACATATATATCTGTCAAAAAACAGTATTATATACAGTATTATATACAGTTCATATCTGCATATATGGCTGAAAGTAAATGGTATGGAGTTTTCATATTACTTAACTAAGCTGTGTTATTGTGTCAATATAGACTATTGACATTCAAAGGTCTACTTCTTCCCTTTTAACTGTTTTATAACATTTCATCATATGAAAAGAAAACATTTGCTTATCCATTCCTCTGTTGATGGGCATTTGTACATTCTTTTCTTCATTGCTTTTTTGGTATTCCATTATTGCTGAGATTTAAGTAAAATTTTCATTATAATCACAGAAATATTTATGTACTTTGAATTTGCAGTTTTAGACCACTTAGCAAACCACTCTTGCATCATTTCCAGTGGAGATGTTTTATTTTTTAATTATGCCTCAAATATAGAAAAACTGTAGATAATTCCATATATAATTTTTTAACATCAAATATAATTTGTTCAAAATTTACATTAATCTTTCTCATAACTAGTCATTTCCATTTTGTCTTCCTGTCATCCTGAAGAATGAAAATGTAATTTCCCAGAGGCTTTAAGAATTGGATAGTATTAAATGTAACTGAAATTAAGTGATTAATAATTTACTTTAGGGTCATGAATCAACTTCATGGGATGCTAAGGATCATTTGCAACCCCAGAAGCATTAGCCTCAACAATGCACCTTTTAAAACTTAAGAACTTGCACAGGTTGGCTGCCCAACCTAATTGAACTTCAATCTTCTGATACCAAATTTATTTCTTCTTTATATTGAATTTCCTCAGATCTTCTTGACAGGAAAATGTCACTCTGTTTGACAGCTGATGGACAGGTTGTGTAGCACCATAATTGGAGAGAAAGGTATAGCTTAAAGCTACTCAATTTAATGGCTATGTGTATGGCTTTTTCTTTTTCCTTTTTTTTAAAGCTTTTTATGACAGACACAAAAGGCCTTTGCAAATAGGCCCAGTGCCATTTTTTTCTTGCTTCCTCCAGGGGTAATTATCTTACTCCATCAATAGTGCTGTCAGAAACTGGGCATATAAGTCAGCATTTAAATGAACAAGCAATGTAATATTTCCTGTATCCCAGTGGAATGCTTTGCAGCTCACATTCTTCTCTGTCACTCACTCATTCTTGATGTATGTCCCATACCTGGTCCTTGAATGCTTTCTCTCCCTTGTGTTTCATTGCAGATGTTGGCTCCGACTTGACACTTACTTCATTTGGAGTTTTATAGGACCAGCGACCTTGATAATTATGGTAAGAACTCCTAATTAACTATGTGTTTCCCAGGTCAAGAAATAAAACTTTCACAATCCCTGTGCTGATTCTCTTTAATTTACATAGATTACTTTTGGGAAAGCATGTACTTATTTGACCCTATAAAATGCAATCAGTTAGACACTCATTATAGTCCACTCTTATATCGTAAAATACTAAATCAAAACTGTTAGGAGAAGAAAACATGCATTGTAAGAGTTTATTCAATACTGTGACTCTTCAGGTGCTCCATCCAACACAATCTATTTGAGATTGGAAGATTTTGAATGATCATGACTTAAAGTGTGACAACAGTTTCTTTCCTTTCTTTTTTATTTGGATAATTTAAATTATGAATGGAATCAGAAATTGGAAGTGTGACAAAACCTTACTGTACCTTCCTGTTGTTTGTTTGTTTGTTTTTTATAACACTCAAACACTAAAAGGATTTCACTTGAGAATGGCACAAGTAAGTTAGGTGAATATTCTAGAATCATGCTTCCCTTTTTTACTTTTAGATGCATAGTATATTGATTTGAAATATAAATTATTCATGTAATTTAACTACTACTGTTGGTATCATTATTTACATATGTATCATTTTAAAACACAAATTCCTCTTTATTTTTTTGAATAAAATATCCTCTTGATTTTGAGTAAAATGATATAGATCTAAAATTCATAATCTGAAATTGTTTGGGCCAGTATATTTTGGAATTCAGAAATTGTTCATACTCTAGTAAAGGGAATATGGTACATGTACTGCATATTATGTAATATCCCTAGTAGAGAATAAGCCATTATCCAAGTCAAACACATCAACCAATTCAGTAGGTTCTAGGTAAGACTCTGAAACCAAACACCATAATAATTCAGCAGAAAATAATTAGAAAAGTAAGAGCAAATAGAATAAAGATATGAAGAGCCCTATGTCAGTGCAGATCAAGTTTTCCCACCAAATAGGTTCAGTTCAGGTTAGGCTTTTGGGCCACCCAATGAATTTTTTAAAACTTTTCACTTTTCAGGCATTTTGGATTTGATAAAGGATTTTACACCTGTATTATTGAAAGAACTTCAGTGGGCCTTATGATTGGACTTTCCTAGTCCCCACCAATCCCAAATTCTAGAATATATAAACAAAGCAGGTGACAAAGGGTAATTCAATATTTGGTTTTCTATACAGTTAATATATGTGTTATATGGAATTTATACTGGAGCTTTATTTTGTTCCAGTGATAAAACAATGTCATTGGGGGTTTCTTCTATTTTAATCCTAGATTTTTGTAGCATCAGAATTTCACCTGTATTGTAAAATCCTTTTAACTATTCAAAAATAAAGAGGTTTTATTATTTATCTTTGTAATGTGGCATTTGAAAATGTATTGCTAGACAATAAAATAGGGGCCATGTTCAGAGGACAGAAATAATAACACACCTGGAATAACTTAATTATGCCTTTTTAAAAAATAAAAAACACATACTTTGCTTTGAGTTGCTTTACAATTTCAACAACATCATTCCAAGTGCTGCTAATGTTATGTTTCTGTGTATTTGGCATAATAGTGCTTTGTAACTCATTGGCACCCCAATTCCTCCTATATGGCTTTCTTGCCTTTTACTAAAATACTAGGTAGGCAATCATCTGCGGTCCAACTCTTTGCAAGTGTAGTGACAGCTAGTTTCCCAGAACAACTCATCTGCTATGGAGAATAGACTTTTTTTTCTATGCCAGTTATGCTACATAACAGTACCTTTTACATTTCAGCTTAATGTAATCTTCCTTGGGATTGCTTTGTATAAAATGTTTCATCATACTGCCATTCTGAAACCTGAATCGGGCTGTCTTGATAATATCAAGTAAGTGGTTTTTTTTTTTTTTCTCTAGGCTGCTTTACTTTGGTACAGTAAAATATACCTATTTTTAATTGTGCTGAAATCTTATGATAAAATGATAAAGATCAATGTGCTGTCCTTGCTGAATAAGATCACTGTTGAAGTGACTTGATCTGCCTGAAAATAGGTATAATGAATCTTTGTCTTCAAAGAAACTTTTATCCCCTACATTCAGATTTACAACATGATAGGATTTTAAAATATCCATTTATTTATTTTGTCCTGAAAGCAAATACAAAGTTTCTGTATCTGGACATGGACAAACTATTATTTCTTAGAGCAATAACTGCTTCAGTTCCTGACACCCCATCTCCCTCTTCAGACCATGTGAAGAGAGCCAGATGGTGTTACCTGCAAGTGCCAAAAGGGGCTTGACACCACAAGAGAGGAACCCCCAAATTATTGATCTGGGTATTTGTAGAGAAGCTGTTATACAGCTGCCCTTCTTGCCTCTTGAGAGAGGAAAAGAGACCTCAACTCCCTAATGGGAAATCCTATGGTATATAAACATGTGGCTCCAGGCTTTAACCCCTTGGAAACATTAACGTTTGCCCCTTGGCAGTTAAATCCCTCCAGAAATATCTCACTATTGTCCACTGAAATCAATGCAACTGTTATATTTAGAAAGATAGGGTCTATTGATAGACCTACTGGGGACTATGACCCGGAGAACAGTCCATCAGTGTCTGCTCTGAAGCCCCTTCATTTGGAGGCATTTTAAATACTTTTTGTACAGCAGCGGATATGTGCAGAAAAGAGGTCGCATTTATCAGTACATCAAGCAGTGTCCTGGATACATCTAGTTAGTGTCCTTAAAGAGCATGCTGTACACATTTCGATGCCATCTAAGTATGTGAGATGAGGCAAGGGTAAGGTCTCATTAGGTGGATAACCTCTTCATCCTCTGGGGCTGGAGAGGGCACACGTGACATTATCTTATTTATGCTGATCAGAAAATACCTGACTGACTACATTTCTAGAGGAGATTGAAACCACCATTAGGTTAGGTATAAAGCCCTGGTTTGGTGACCTGGCCTGGCAGAAATGACTCCATGTGGGACCTATATCTTTCTTTTTTACACTCTCTACTCGGTCGGCTTAAAACTTATGTACACACAGAAGGAAGCTAATTTACATTTTCTGTAAAGAAAAATAGTTCCTCAAAATAACCAAAGAGTTTATCTTGTTCCTTTAGAGGCTGTGACATTTGAGAAAGATAATAATGTGGAGATGTTCTTCTAGTCATTAATATAAATTATATATTAAATTGCATTTGTATGTAATTTGCCTATGCTATGTGTTAACTTGGTAAAATGTTTTTATTTAAATGAATGTAATTTCAGAAGTTCCATGAGGTCACCTGTGACTTTCATGTGCTACTGACATTCTCCTTAACTACCTCAGAGAACAACTGTATCACCCATTTTCCATCTTTCTACATTTAGTACCTGGCATAGTTCCTTGTCCACAGAAGGCCCTCAATGAATGTTTACAGAATAAAGTAATGCATTAAAGATTTTAATGATGAAAGCATATTGATATTAAATGGTTAGTCTTGTTGAAGGAATCATCTTTCTAAATTAATTGAAAAAGATAGCTAAAGAATTAGAAAAAAATAATAATATAATGGAGCAAACTAGGAATTATCTACTATGAATAATGGTCTTTTGTAATTCTTAACATTACTTAATTGAGATAATAGTCATGATATTGTTGAATTATGTACAATTATCCTGCCCTTCTAAAATGTAGTATTCATTTGTCTTAATAAAATTGAACTGGAACAGCCATATAAAATACATTTTATCCTATTGTACTTTTACTCAGTTTAGTATAAACTAAATCTTTGTATCTGTTATTCTGTAGTATAAAACAAAATGCAAAGTAATACTTCATTTTCATTTATGTTATGGTTTTACTATAGTGTCAGCAAAAAAATGAATAATACCTTGATATTTATATAACAGCTTTTACCACATTAAAAATCATAAAAAAGGTCTTGTATTTAGTATTTCAAAGGATCAATTTGTTCTCTCATTATTCATATGTATTTCTTTAGGTAATATGGGCTGAATCTTTATGTATTACTTTTTAGAGAAATAAACACAAAAGCCAATAATTACATACCATGACATTAATGGCATCAAGCTTTTATTAAAAAGCAAAGTAAAGCCTTAAATGAGAATATCTCGATTTGAATTCTGTTTAAACTGCCTTCTAATTTATAGCCTTAGGGAAGTTTATTTAACCTTTCTGAGTCTTCGTGTTCTTTTTTGGATGAGTATGATAATAAAACATCATCCAGACCATCAAAAACCAGACCATCAAATGAGCAGAGGAATATAAACAGCCTTTGATAATGTTTTTTTTTAAGTCAATAAAGAAAGGAGAGAAAATAGGTGGTTATTAGAAAGGGTATAGAAGGGACTTCATGGAAAAAAACAGGAATTTATGCATGCTGTTGGGAAAGAACCAGGGATAGTGGTTAGAAACACCAGAAAGAGAATCATTGCTTTGGTTGTGACTGGAGGAATTGCAGGGAAGGAGATCCAAGTGGCAGAGCAATTCCACTCCATTAGATTACATGAAGGTCACTTGTCCACCAAGATGAGAGTAGCCAGGAAGGAGGACCCTCTTCCACTAAGACTGGATGAAATAAATGATAGGTGTGACTAGACATATGTTGGTGGAACACGGTAGAGCAATAAATTAAGGGATTTCTGCTTCCTCATCTCTGTGAAGTAGGAAAAAATCGTCTATGGAATAGAGTGAGTGACATGTTGAAGAGAGATAATAGGAAAGGCAATATTCCTTGGAACTTTGCAGAACCTGAAGGACATTTCCTTTTTTTATTAAAATATACTAACTACTTAAAAAGTGCTTGCAGAAAAACCAACAAGGTATACTTGATAAGGAAAGAAGAATTTAAGAAGGGTAATAATGATTTTTGAACATTAGGAAAAACACAAGATCTGGCATCCCTTTTATTTTTAACAAAATTAAGGATTTTTATAATGTATTTTTTTAAACTATGGGTGATGTGAGATTGTTTATTTTAAAAGCAAAGGTATTTATCTAGAAAGCTGGGGTTTTTTTAGTCCATGGAATAGGACACAGAAGTTAAGAATGTGCACTTGTTTTTGTTTTTTGTATTTTGGTGCAGTGATGAGTAAGACATCCCACCTTGCTTATTTTATTGAGGAAAAACCCCTACCATATGCTTGGAAGTCATTCTTTCTAAAACCATTCATTTATCAAATATTTATTGCTTTTATTATTCTTTCATGTATTTGTAAACATGCTCTTTCACACACAGTTATCTCCCTTATTTCAAATGTGTATGCTTCTCCCATGTCCACTGCACCATTTCTTTTTAGCAACTGCCAACTTCTGCAGAACTTCTGCAGTGGGCTGCCAGCTCCTCTCCCCATTTTGGCTCCTTCCCCTGCCTTCATCAGCCCCAGGGATCTCTTGAATAGTTTGAATTCAGTCATGTAACTCTCTTGGGTAAAACTCTTCGGTGGCCTTCTGTTATACTTACCTAGTGCAGGTCCAGATTCTCTTATCATGGTCCCATAAGCCTTCTGATCTAGTTGCCGCTGCCTTTTTTCAGCCTCTTGTTAAGCCATGTGCCCCACCGCCCGCTCCGGATGGGCACTCTCTTGTGTTAGATGTTATCTCTGCTACTTTGCTCTGACTTTCTCTTCCCTCACTCTATGCCTGGCTAACTCCAATTTACCCTAATTAATTTAATTGCAATTTTAAAATAATTTAATTATGTTTTAATTCCAAATTTACTTCACGGTCATCATAATAAACACATTTTGATGTTAGTTATAGACCATTCATTTGGCTGGCTCATTACTTTATTAATGATAGACTCTGGAAAAAAATAATAACAGTGAATTACTATAGATAACATGATTAGAAGAAATGAGGTACACCAATTCTCATATGTAACTAAAAAAGCCATTAGAATTAAACAGTACATTTCTATTTGCTGCATGCTTCCTTGTCCTTTGTTTTTTTTTTTTTTCATCAAAATAGGTAATTGCATTTGAAGGAGAAAAGTTCATTCCAGTCATTTGAATTTTCTGGTTGAGTTTCTGACAGGTTAAAATGGGAGCTTACAGGAATCGCAGTGAAAATCTAACCCAATTTGAAAAACATATTTGTAAATATGAATAAGACAATTACTGAATTGTTACTAACACAAAATTAACTTAGAGTATCATTGAAGTATTTATGACATGCAAAACGTTAATTCTTAGAAGGATTTAGAATGCTCTTGACATTTAAAATAAAAATTGATCATTTGTGTAGTTGTCAACTACATCTAATATTGAAAAATGTGTTTAATAATATCACAAGTACTTTGAAGAATGAAAGGAAATGATAGAAGCTCTTAACACTAACAGAGAAAATTGGTGCCTGGTAGAGGGACAAGGAACCTTCTAGGCTTCCCCTTCCCTGCATCTGTCCCTTTGCCTTTCCCAGGGACAGACTTCTGCATATAGGCTTGGGATTTAGCCTCATCATGTTTTCCAGTTGCTGGTCTCTCCCCTTAATTTATGTCATACATGAGTGATGTCTTTGCCAACACATTGTCAGATGGTTTAAAGAAATACCTTTCTCCTTCCTTACTTTTTCTTTGTGCTGTAACTACTGAACGGAGACATAGTGGTAGAGGGAGTGTCAGACACCCCTGGGTTTGAATTGCTGCCTGGAGTTCTGTAATGGTGATATGACCTTGCAAGTTACACCATGGCTCTCAGTCTCATTATCTCCTCTGAATTGGGAATAATTGTATGTACTTCATAGAGTTTTATGGTGAATATAATTACATCTGCAAAGCATACAGCATAGCATTTAGTGCCCATACAGGATGGCTTGCTTATTTTTAACCACACTATGTGGAAATTTACTGCTGCTTTTGCTTCTTTGCATTTTCCATGGTGAAATTT